GGTTTGGGTGGCCGCTGGGTCGATGGCGGGCGGCCGCGACCTTGTGGTGGTTGTCACAGCACCCACGGGTGTTGTGTCGTGTCGCCCACGGGTGTCACAGCACCCACAGGGGCTCACCTTGGCCAGGGCGACATGGGGGAACTTGTCCATCTCCAGGAGGTTCTCCTCGCCCTTCCCGTGCTGCAGCTGCCCCTTCAGGATGCGGGTGGCCGTGACGGTGGAGACACCCATCCCTGGGGGGCACCCGTCAGCTCCCCCTGAGCACGGCACAGCTCGCCGCACTGGTGCCACGCACTCACTTCATCCCAGCACCCCGTTTATTGCAGCACCCAATTTTTTGCAGCCCCTGATTTATTGCAAGCCCAGTTTATCCCAGCACCCAGTTTTCTGCGGCACCCAATTTACCACAGCACCCAGCTTATTGCACATGCAGCACCCACCTTATCCCAGCACCCAATTCTTTGCAAATCCAATTCATTGTGGCACCCAGTTTATCCCAGCACCCAACATATCACAAACCCAATGTGTTGGAGCACTCATTTTTTTTGAGCATCCTATTTTTTGCAAATCCAATTCATTGCAGCACCTAACTTATTGCAAGCCCATTTTATTGCAGCACCCAATTTACCATAGCACCCTATTTTTTGCAAATCCAACTCATTGCATTGCCCATTTTATCACAGTACCCAATTTTTTGCAAACCAAATTTATCCCAGCACCCAGTTTTGCACAAATCCAGTTAATCACAGCACCCAGTTTATCCCAGCACCCAACTTATTGCAAACCCAGTTTACCCATCATCCAATTTTGTGCAAACCCGACTAACCCCAGCATCCATTTTATTGCAAACCCAGTTCATTCCAGCACCCACTTTCACCACACCACCCATTTTACCACAGCCCCACTTTACCACATCGCCCACCCCCTTTTCCCCCCCCAGGGTTGGGTGCCCCCTCACCATCGCCCAGGAAGAGGATGAGGTTCTTGGCCACGTTCTGGTTGAGGCGCTGGAGGCGCAGGGCTGCCCTCAGTGTCTGCTGCGCCTGTGCCCGCCAGTACTCGGGGTCCTTCTCCCGCTCTGGGAGTATTGGGGGGGTTAACCAGGCTCCACAGCACCCAGCAGCACCCACTTCTGGGGTACATTCCCCTCCCAAAATCACCTACCGGGGACCAGTGAGGCGAAGCAGAGCTGGGTGAGGAGGAGGAGGAGGAGGAGAGCCTTCATCCTGCGATGCTGGGTAGGAGAGACCTGCGGGGGCACACCCACTCTGTGCCTCAGTTTCCCTGCTGAGACCTTCGCCCCAGGACTCGGCCAAGCGCAATGTCCGCTCCCCGCACAGTGACCAATGTGACCCCCTGGGGACGTGCCAGCTCCCCTGCTGCTGCCACCTGTCCCACAGGTCATCACCGTGCTGGCACCAATCTGGGCTGAGGGACAGTGGCACAGCCCTCACACGCGTGGCACAGCAGGGTCACATGGATGCGCCCCCGTTGCGTGTCCCTGTCCCCATCGCCATGTCCCCATCATGGCTGGGTCCCCATTGAACAGCTGTGTCCCTGTAGCATGGCCCTGTCCCCATCATGTGTCCCTGTCCCCATGGCATGTTCCTGTCCCCATCACTCAGCCATGTCCCCATCACATGCTTGTGTCCCATCATGTGTGTTCCCATCCCATGTCCATGTCCTCATCCTGTGCCCATGTCCCTGCTGTGCCTGTGTCCCCGTTATGTGTCTCTGTCACATCTGTGTCCCCATCCCACGCCCATGTCTCCATTGCATGCCTGCATCCCCATCGCACACCCATGTCCCCAGCGCATGTCCACGGCCCCACTGCGTGCCTCTGTCCCCACCAAACCCCCATGTCCCCGTCGCACACCCCTGTCCCCGTTAAACACCCATGTCCCTCTTGCACACGTGTCCCTGCTGCATGTCTTGTCCCCATCACAAGCTCATGTCACAATTGTACATCCATGTTCCCATCGCACACCTTGTCCCCATCACATGCCCATGTCCCCCCTGCATGTCTGTGTCCCCATTGCATGCCCAAGTCCCCATTACACCTTTGTCACACGCCTGAGTCCCACCACATGTCTGTGTCCCTGTTGCACCCCCTTGTCCCCATTGCACACCCATGTCCCCATCACATCCCCGTGTCCCCATTGCACATCTGTGTCCCTGTTGCACATCCATGTCCCCACCACATGCCCATGTCCAGTTGCACACCCGTGTCCCCATTGCACGTCTGTATCTCTGTTGCACGCTCATGTCCCCACCACGCACCCGTGTCCCCATCGCACCCGCGTCCCTGTTGCACACTGCTGTCCCCATCACCCCTTCGCGTCCCCATCGCATGCCCTCCATTGCCCTCCCCATCCCCAACC